AATTTTATAGGTCTCAAACTGAAAACATTTTTATTCTTTTCCTGACTCTAACCTGTCATGTGGTTTCCCCACCCTAGTAAATAACACCTAGGAAGTAGCCGTGAAACACTCAAGCACTTCAACCTGCCCTCAGCCCTCCTCCAGGTCACCAATCCAGTCACACACCAAATTGTGTACTTTCTACCTTCTTATAATCTTCCATTTCTCATTAGCATAACTGACTCTCTACCTATAATTTTGACATACTCCTTTCTAGTTTTGCCCCATCTCCCCATGTTCCTCTATCTTTACACTGCTAGAAGTGTCACCTTTCTAAAATATATTTGTAATAATGTAACTCATCTACATATGGAGTGGATACCCGTCACATGAAAGGGTAAGTTCACATTCCAGTGTGACACATATCTTATATGGTGTGGTTCCATTTTATCTCTTCATCTCATTTCCTCCGACTGTGTTCCAGTTTTACCACATCTCTTTGGCAACCCTCATTTGCAATGTTGTTTCATGCCTTATTATTTTACACATGCTATTGCACCTAGACTTTGTGTCCTGACTCTGCACTTTTTCTGTCCTTCCAAATATGGCCCAATTATGGTAGCATTTTCTATGCTTTTCAGGTAAAACTGATTGTTCTCTCCTTTGTGCCCTTATGTATTTTATTGACTTAAATTGTAGAACTGGTGAATTACACCTTTTTCTGTTTTTATTTGTGTTCATATGTCTCTGCCATTTCTTGAATATAGGTCAGAATCTATCTTCTGTATATATTTTCTGCTTCTCCCAGGATAGTGCCTGTGATTTGATAGATACAATGTATGTGTGTGTGTGTTGTTTTGTCTTACTGACAAACTGAGTGAGTGAGTGAGTGAATAAATACATTTTTTTCTGAAGTTTTTTTTTTGTTGCTTTTGTTTTTTGTTTGTAATAGGAGGGAGCAACAAAGACAATAACTGGAAAACAAGAAAATGACATTGGCATTATTGAACCAGCTCCACAAAATCAAGCAAGCAATGACAATTTTATTTTTTTATACCAAAATAATAGAAGTGGTAAGTCAGTGAATATCTCTGAAAATATTTTTATGCTTAAACGCTATTATTTAGAAAATAACTTTATAGACCCAAATATAATGTCTACTTAAAAAAAATACTTTTTGCTATCTTTTTCCATACTATCAATTCTTTTTCCTGAACCTGCTTCAATCCTGAAATTCTATTTTTGCTATTACTGTTATTTTATTGAAATATTCATAAATGGATATAGTATATATTTTTACAATTTACAGTAAAAAATGTTCTCATATATGTGTCTGTGAATAACATTTTGTAGATAAGATGCCCACATCAGAATCAGGACAAAAAGAAGATACGAAATGACCTTCAAATACTGAGGTACAGTGTATTGTTGTTGTTGTTGTTGTTGCTGTTGTTATTTTAAAACATAAGTAATGAGTCATGTTAAAACATAAAAAGATGATTTGACTTTATTCTGTCACCTCTGCATGTGTCATAAGAAATTATTTTCAGACATTTATCAGAACATACTTTATAATCATGTGCCAACTAGATAACTATTGCATAGTGCAATTCTGCTAATTTGTAGGATTAATTTAAGAAGGCAGTGTAGAATAGTGCGAAAGAAAATAAGGCTTAGAAGTCACTAGGAATCTATTTGAGTTCTGAAGTTAAGTTTGTCTAAAAACTAAAGAATTTCTCTGCATTCACCTATGGGCAAATATATGATTCTGTGTATCTCCAGATTTACGAAAGCTCTAATTGGATTCAGAGAGAAAGAGTTTAAATTGTAGTCTCAGTCTTGTACAACTTGGAACTTGAAAAGATAATGCTTGGGACTTGAAAGTATTGGTATATTTTGATTATCCAGTATACAGCTGAAGGAACATTTCAGGAGCTGGATAAACATGAGAAATAGGACACCTGTAAAACTATAATAATAACAATTCGGTTGAGTAGTGTTTTCATAAGTAGACATTCTTTTCACAAAGAGAACCCTTTGAGTCCTTTGTGGCAGCCAGGTTTGCAGCCACATAAATGTCAAATAATAATGATGGATTCCAAGGTCACAACGGTGGATGTGGAAGAGATAGGTAAGGCCTCACCACTTAGATAGAAGCAGCAGCTGCATAGTAGTAACAGCAATGAGTGGATGTCAAAAGATAAGTCTGTATTTTGGTTCTGCCACTTACTAGCTATGGGAACTTGGAACAAATCATTTAACCTAATCAAATACCAGTAACCTTGTTTATAAAAATAGTGCTCGTATCTACCTCTTAGGTCTGCATGATGAAAAAATGTTGTAACAAATGTGAAAACACTTGTAAACTGAAAAGTCTGTATACAAATGTAAGACAAAATGATCAAAGTGGCATTGAAGTGAAGACAGTATTGGTAGGACAAGAATGGGGAGTAAGAACAGGCATGTGGATTTCTAATTGGGGGTAAGGGGATGATAACTTTCAGCAGGCTACTACTGAAAATTTTCCATAGAAATATAGCAGTCTGGAAAGGTAGACTTTTCTGATGAGATTTTAAATGTTTTGACCTGGAGTAATTTTTAAGATTGCAATTCTAACAGATTGGCTATAAAACAGATTTGTATGTGTTTTAAAAATTTATAGTAAGAGGCCGAGCACGGCGGCTCATACCTGTAATCCCAGCACTTTGGGAGGCCGAGGCGGGTGGATCACGAGGTCAGGAGATCGAGACCATAACACGGTGAAACCCCGTCTCTATTAAAAATACAAAAAATTAGCGGGGCGTGGTGGTGGGCGCCTGTAGTCCCAGTTGCTAGGAGTGAGGAGGTCTCAGCCTCAGCGGTGAGGAGGTCTAAAGCCTCAGTGGTGAGGAGGTCTAAGCCTCGGCGGTTTTGGAGAGTCACTGCTGCTAAAGAATCTATTTGGGATTGTAAAGTAAGGATAGATTTCGTTATTTCTTGCAAACTGTCTGAGAAATCCTTTGAGAGTGTGTGGTAGTAGGATAATGAAGTAGATAAACCAGGTATTCCAGTTCCCGTAGCAGTAGCCATTCCTAACCCTGTAAGTAGGGGTATTAGTTGTATGGCTGGCGGACTTGAGCTTTAAGGAGTACTGATGAGGTCTGATTTCCTGGGGCAATATTAATGTTGGGACTTAGAAAGACTAAGGTGCAGGTGCCTGTCCAGTTAGTGGGGAGGCAGATATAGGTTGATGTTCCATATAAGAAGAATATGCCTTGGCTGGGTAGACAGAACTGGTTGTGTATGTTAAAAAGGTGTATGAGTTTGTTGTTTTCATTTTCCCATACTCCTAGAGTACTTGCCAAGGTAGCTCCGGTGAGCCACTGGAAAGGGGTGTTGGGAGCAAACTGAGTGGCTCCCTGTGTTCTATTTTCCCATTGGAGAAAAAAACGTTTTGTATCTACTAGGAACCATTTGAGAAAATGATTGAAAAGGGGATAAGAAGGCATTCACTAATGGTGGGGGCGCTGCTGCAGGGGGTCCAGGGGTGAATGGTCATGCAGGGAGTATGTTTGCCATTACAAAACCTGGACAAATAGCTAATGTCACAAATAGCTAATGCATGCTGGGCTTAATATTTAGGTGATGGGTTGATAGGTGCAGCAAACCATTATGGCACACGTTTACCTAAGTAACAAATCTGCACGTTCTGCATATGTATCCTGGAACTTAAAGTAAAATAATATTTAAAAAAATTTTAAAAAGAAAAACCATATTATTACTGTATCTGACATCAAAAGAACATAGTATACTAAAAGTAGAAAGTTACTGTTTGTGAGATAAAATTTAATGTAAAGCAAATTTACCTTCTATCCTATTTCAAGCATATGCTCAAATAAATTAAGAACACCTTGCCAGTTTTAATTACTAAATATTTTGGTTTTAAAACTAAATTTGTTTCATTTTAAATTTCCATTTAGCCTGCAGGGGTGTCCAATCTTTTGGCTTCCCTGGGACTCACATAAGATGCACTAACACTAGCAATAGCTGATCAGCTAAAAAAAAAAAATGTGAAAATATCTCGTAATTTTTTTAAGAGCGTGTCTTGCCCTGTCGTCCAGGATTGAGTGCAGTAGCAAGATCTCAGCTCACTGCAGCCTCCACCTCCTGGGTTCAAAGGATTCTCTCACCTCAGCCTCTGGAGTTGCTGGGATTACAGGCATGCTCACTGCCCCTGGCTTGTTTTTGTATTTTTAGCACAGATAGGGTTTTGCCGTGTTGGCCAGGCTGGTCTTGAACTCCTGACCTCAAGTGATCTGCCAGCCTTGGCCTGCCAATAGTGCTGGGATTACAGGTGTGAGCCACCGCACCCTGCAAAGAGCTTACAATGTTTTAATATTTGTCGGGCAGCATTCGAAGTTGTCCTGGGTCGCGGGAGCCCATGGGTTGAGACAGCATGATCTACAGCTTACTCTTCCCCAGATATTAAAACATACCATTAATTACCTTCCTTAGTTTTAAGAAAATAGCCTTTTAGCCTATGAGAAGCCAATTTGAAAGAGAAGAGATACAGGTAACAAGAGCCTAGGATAAACTGGGCATTAAATGTATCTCTGAGGGAAAATATTCCAGATTGAAATATACATCAATAAGATTGCTTTTACCTGCCCCTACATTCTTATTTACAGGATACTTACAGCGCTGTAGTAACAGAGAATTCAAAAATTATCTGAATAACTGTTTTTTTAAAATTACTGTTATTCAAGCATTAAAGAAGCAAAACCAAAACAGCTTGTGTCCAGGGCTCCAATCAATCAAGCGACGGGAATCTCAGAGCAAGGGAACAGGCCCTGCTTGTCATGTTTTCTCATTTTCCTCTCTCAATTTTCCTGAAAATTCTGAAGGTCGCAGAGGTAGAGATGAAAATCTAAGGTCACCAAGACTTAAGAAGGCATGGGATGGTGAAAGCTATTTTTAATTATAGTGTTGACCTCCAGATCTACTGGCCCCGTAATCTTTGTATAAATACGGTAGGAAGAACGTTTAACATTTATTCATTTGTTTTATTCATTTGTTGGTTCTGAACATTGATGCTTCGTGCCTGTTGGGAGGGTGGGGCATAGGAGGCCTCTTGACGACCGCTGGGGGAGCGGGCACGAAGTCCGGGGGCGGGCGGGCGGCTCCATGAAGTCCAGGGGCGGTGGCGGGAGCTCTGGATCCTGCAGCGGGGGTGGCGGCAGCTCTGGGTCGTCCAGTGGAGGCAGCGGTGGCAGTGGCGGCAGGAAGTCGTCGGGCGGGGCGGGGAAGCCCCCGCCGCCAGTGCTCTTGGCCTTGGGGGGCGTGACAGGGCTGCAGATGGTGTCCCAGGACCTATGCACCAGAGCGGGGGGCAGGCTGGACTTGGGGCCGTGTGGGGCCGGGGGTGCTCCTGGCTCCTGGTGGTTCCTGAGGGCTGGCTTCCTATCCTGCAACCCAGTGACAGCAGCATTCATTATTTTAAAATTTTTGAAATTTTAATTTATTGTTATTAATTAATGGACACAGGGTCTCACTCTGTCGCCCAGGCTGAGTGCAATGGCACAATCTGGGCCCACTGCAGCCTCCACCTCCTGAGCTCAAGCGAACCCTCCCACCTCAGTCTCCTGGGTAGCATTCTCTATTCTTGACAAAACAGCCCCAGTGGACAGGACCATGCCATAGATAGGTGAGTCTCTCTGTCTGCCCACTGGGGAGCCTCCGTCCCTCAGTCACTGAGAGCCCTGGTTGTTCATGAGCTCATCTTTGCTCTGGAATAGGGAAATGACTTTCAATGGCCTTTATTATTATTATTATTATTATTATTATTATTATTATTGAGATGGAGTCTTGCTCTGTTGCCCAGGCTGGAGTGCAGTGGTGCCATCTTGGCTCACTGCAACCTCCACCCCCTGGGTTCAGGCGATTCTCCTGCCTCAGCCTCCCAAGTAGCTGGGACTACAGGAGCTGGCCACCACGTCCTGCTAATTATTGTATTTTTAGTAGAGATGAGGTTTCATCATGTTGGTCAGACTGGTCTCGAACCCCAGACCTCATGATCTGCCTGCCTCTGCCTCCCAAAGTGCTGGGATTACAGGCATGAGCCACTGCGCCTTGTTTTTTTTTTTTTTTTTGACAGGATCTCGCTGTGTCACCCAGGCTGGAGTGCAGTGGCGCAAGCTTGACTCACTGCAACTTCTGCCTCTAGGGCTCAATGATCCTCATGCCTCAGCCTCCTGAGTAGCTGGGATGAAAGCATGTGCCACCATGCCCAGTTAATTTTTGTATTTGTTGTAGAGATGGTTTTTTGCCATGTTGCTCAGACTTGTCTCCAACTCCTGGGCTCAAGTGATCTATCTACCTTGGCCTCCCAAAGTGCTGGAATTACAGGTGTGAGCCACCTCACCCAGACAGTTTACCTTTTCTCAACTGCATGAAAGTTGGCTGGTTCACCGGGTATAAAATGAGCCCAGTAGCCTCTATTATGACATGTGTCTCAGGTTGTGAGGAGATCAAATGAGATACATATATGAGTTCTGAAAAGAAAAATCACCAGCGTGCTATTGGTAGAAACCAGAACGCCAAATGTGGCTGAAGTCTAATAGAGGTATAGCCCTTCCTCCACCAATACTCGAATAGATAAGGATAATTTGGGTGTATATAATGAAACGTCCCCAGGCAGCTGGATTGAATCCCTCTGTTTTAGTGATAATTATCATTCCAATTGACATTTCATCAGGGTTCCAGTTTATTTCTTCCTCTGCTTAATAGCCTCTTGACACTGAAAATTAAATTTGGAAGTTTTTTTTTTCTAACAGTTCCTTCTGATTTAGTTTCTATTTTAGTTTATTTCCTTAGCATGATAAGCTAATTAACTGGCGATGTACATTTTCCTTTTTAAAAAATCTCTGAACAGGCAGCTTGGGAATTGGTGTTCACATATAGTTAAGTGATTTCTATTCTGGGATTCTTTTATTTATTTCAGCATTTTTAAATGCTTTCCTTCGATTGGCATTATAGAAATAATGAAAATAATAATAGCTGAAAGTGCATTGCATGAAGAGATTGTCAGGCTTGAGAAGATAATGAAAACACTAAAGAAATAGAACTTTTACAGGCCTGCAGTGGTTGTCAAAATTATAAGAAGTTCAATAAATACCAAGATTTAGTTGTTTTCATGACTGGCCGATGGACAAAATGAAGGGGTGAAAGAAGTGAAAAATTGCTAAAGTGAAGCACCCTGCCTTTCCTAGCTGGGAGACATGCTGTTGTCACAGTTATTTCGGGTTGTTTTGAATCATACATGAGAAATATTCAACAGAATTTATACAGTCAACTGAGAGGTTTTGAACTAGATTAGTAACGAAATCATAATTATTAGCTATGATTTTAAGATAGATTTAAGTGAATCTTCATTGATCTATTTGGTTGAAAAAATGTTATGGAGGATGTCATCCCTATTGGCTATCATTTTACAACGTATTTTCTCCTTCATCACCCTGGGGATGTAGGTAGGACATCAGTAGGAACAATAAAAAATGCACATTTTTAGTGTAACCCTTTTTTATATTTGTTTCTTTTTTTTAAGACAAGGTCTTTATCATGTAGGCTGGGGTGCAGTGGTGTGATCACAGCTCACTGCAGCCTTGAAATCCTAGGCTCAAGCCATTCAGACACCTCAGCTACCCAAGTAGCTAGGACCACAGGTGCATGCCACCAAGCCTGGCTAGTTTTTTTATTTCTTGTAGAGATCAGCCCTCGTTCTGTTGCCCAGGCTGGTCTGGAACTCCGGAGCTCAAGCAATTATCCTGCTTCGGCCTCCCAAAGTGCTGGGATTACAGGCGTGAGCCACCGTACCCAGCCTGTTTTCTCTTTTTAAAAGAGCAGTTATTGGAACAATGTGAATGGTTGAGAACATGGGTTTTGGGGGACGGCTGACGGAATGTATGTCAGCTGCTTGCTGGTTTTACCTTGGATGTTTCAGCGAGTGTCTTGGCCTCTTGGAGAACAGCACTGACAGAATGTGCAGCCTGGGGCATCTGTCCATTGGGCTGGGCGGTGCCGTTTATAGGTCCTGAGAGGGAGGAAGCGAGAAAAGAAGAGCGAGCAAAGCATTTTCAACATTCTTGAAAGTTAATCTGAAAATAAAAGCAGTTTACATCTCTAAAGCAAAGAAAGATACTTGCCGGCTACTTCTTACAAAAATAAAAAATAAAAACAAAGCAAAGAAAGCAAATCACAGGCATGGCATGGTACACAAAACCTTACGAAAAATCTGAGGTTCTGTGACAAAACTGTATAGGAGATTCAGCAGAAGATTCAGGAAGATGAGTGCGGTATTTGATAAAGCTCACCGAGGAGGGTCTGGATTAACTGGGATTGTGGAGAGGAATAGTATGTTTTACTTTTGAAAATCTTTTGATAATTGAAGAATAAACCTTGAAAACCAATTTTCTTTCAAAAAAATTGTATTGTTGATTTCCCTAAAATGTATTTATCTAGTTTCATACCATGCTGAGTATAGGAACAACTTTCGAACATTGTCTTCGACAAAGAGTATATTGGGCTGGGCGCGATGGCTCAGGCCTGTAATCCCTGCACTTCGGGAGGCCGAGGGCGAGCAGATCACGAGGTCAAGAGATTGAGACCATTCTGGCCAACATGGGGAACCCCGTCTCTACTAAAAATACAAAAATTAGCCCGGGGTGGTGGTGGGTGCCTGTGGTCCCAGCTGCTCGGGAGGCTGAGGCAGGAGAATGGTGTGAACCTGGGAGGCGGAGCTTGCAGTGACCCGAGATCACACCACTGCTCTCCAGCCTGGTGACAGGGTGAGACTCAGTCTCAACAACAACAACAACAAAAACGAAAAACAGATAAACAACAATAACAACAACAACAAAGAGTACATTGGACACAGAAACAACAGACACAGATTTGGACAAAATGTGCGGGTCCCTGAAATAATCTGGAATTAGATGTGAGTTTTTGTTTGTTTTGTTTTCCCCAAAAGTCCTGGTATTAAGATTTTATTTTCTTGCCTTTTAATTTGTCCTTTTGACACAAAGCTTGACTCATGGAAGGTCTGCAGTTGTTAGAGAATCAGATAGAAGAAGCTCTGTGTTGATTTCTCGGCTCTTCAGAAAGGATCCCGCCAAGGATGGCCACCTCTCCACACCCGGGCTGTTTCTCCTGCAAGTGAATTGCAGCCCAGCCCACACCAGAAGGTCTTCCGCTCCTCTCCCTGTGAATGCAGAGATGCTTTAGCCATGCTCGGCACCACCGTTCTGTCTAATATTCACAAACTGCCTGCTTATTTCTTCAACTAGTTTTCCAGTAATTTGAGTAACCCATTAATTTACATGACAACTCAAAGAATGACTTCAGGACATAAGAAAAAAAAAAGTGGGTGGGGAACGTTGGCTGGGTTCTGCTGGCTCATTCCTGTATTCCCAGCCCTAGGGGAGGCCAAGGCAGGTGGATCACTTGAGGTCAGGAGTTCGAGAACAGACTGGCCAATTTGGTGAAATCCACTAACTGCTAAAAATACAAAAAATTGGCCGGGCATGGTGGCTCACACCTGTAATCCCAGCACTTTGGGAGGCCGAGGCAGGCAGATCACAAGGTCAGGAGATCGAGATCATCCTGGGATGAAACCCCGTCTCTACTAAAAATACACAAAATTAGCCAGGCGAGGTGGCGGACACCTGTAGTCCCAGCGACTTGGGAGGCTGAGGCATGGGAATGGCGTGAACCCGGGAGGCAGAGCTTGCAGTGAGCCAAGATTGCGCCATTGCACTCCAGCCTGGGTGACAGAGTGAGACTCTGTCTCAAAAAAACAAAACAAAACAAAAACAAACCAACAAAAAAAACAATTAAAAAATTTAGTCAGGAATCGTGACCCACACCTCTAATCCCTGCCACTCGGGAAGCTGAAGCAGGAGGATCACATGAACTTGGGAACCAAGGGTTGCAGCGAGCTGACATCGTGACACAGCATTCCAGCCTTGGTGACACAATGAGACTCAGTCTCAAATACAAGGATGATACTCAGGGGGAAATGGTGGGAAGGGGGAGAAAGTTAAGAGACTACAAATTGGATTCCATGTGTACCGCTTGGGTGATTGGTGCACCAAAATCTCACAAATCACCACTAAAGGAGTTACTCAAGTAACTAAATACTACCTGTTTGCCAAACATTTATGAAAAGAAAAATTTAGAAGAAATTTTAAATTGTGCAAATTTACTGTCATACTTTCAAGTTACAAAAGCACGTCTATGATGAGACTTAATTATTCTAATGTTTAAAGAAATGAAGAGAACAATCAGAGTTTAAATAGAAAAGCTGTCAGACATTTCGTCTACAGCAATGAAATCTCTAGCATATATTTTGTATTTTGAAACTTAGTTTTCAGCCAGCCTGGGGGAAGAAGAAGAGGAAACAGAACGGGGCATTGGGGTATGTAGTGGGAAAGTAAGAAACCGGTTGGACACAGCAGGGAAAGAAGAAGGGGTGAGGACTCCAGGCAGAGCCAGTCCTCCTGCTTGGGGCCTGGGCATAGGAAAGCAAACGCCAGGCAGGAGGAAGGAGCCCCAGGCTGTGGATGCCTCTGGGGGAACCTTGGGTCAGCAACGGCCAGAGGAACTCCTGAACTTAAGCAGTATCTGCCACTTCCCTACCTTTGGGTGTCTTCTGGTGGCCAATGTGCTGCTGTCAGGACCCTTGCTGGCTCCCAACTTCTCCTGGGCAGGCTCCAAAGCAGTGGAGTTGGCGCTACTGCTACCTCCACCTTGTGGATCTCTGAGATGCAGGACGGTTTCACCCATCGCACCCTGAGATAGCCCTGCTTATGGCTGGCATTGGGCGACAGTGTGTTCTAGGCACCTCTGCTCCTGTATGTCGCGGCCTGCGTCTTTGCTGTCTGGACACTCGTAGATGTCAGAGTCAGAAGCTGGCTGTTGAGAACCCTTGTGCCAGCCCTGATTGGGTCTGGCTTTGGTGAATATTCGAAAGTTCAGTGTGGACCACGTGGGACACCCCTGCTGTTCTCGGGCAGCATGGGCCTTGGCTTGCTCCCGAGTCTGCATAGGTGAACACCTATTGCCTCTTCCTGGCAAAAGCATCACTGCCACGGGCAGCCCTGGGCCATGGAGCAGTATTGCACTAGCAGCCCGCATCCGTACCCTGAGCTGACTTGTCTGCTAAAAAATACCTGCCAACCTCTCCGGTTTATTTTAGAACGGCCTGAATGCAACACACCTGAGACCTGTTACTAGGGGAGAAGAGAGCACAAACGGATTCATCCTCCTGCCACGACTGCCCAACAACTGAAGACCACCAACTAGGACCACCAACTAAAGAGAAACAACTGAGGGTACCAACTGAGGGCACTAACCAAAGGCAACCAATGAGGGCACCCACTGAAGGCCAGTTGCCCTGCCAACCAGACCACATACTGGTTAGAGGAAACAATCAGGCCCAGAATCCTTTGCATGTGTCCCCCTAGCTTGGAATTGAGAGCTCAAGCACCAGGCTCACAAGGCCCCACCCTGCCAGTGGACTTCCCCCACCTTTCATGCATTGCTGGCTGCTAGAAACTTTCAGGTTGCTCACTGTGATGAAGTTCCTAGGGATCATCACCTTACAATGAATGATGCTAAAATTACTGAAACCAAATCTGCCTCATGTACTGTCTGGGATTCAAAAAACCCTCTTTCCCCCATAACCTCTGAGATTTTTACAAACTAGAAAAATGACAGATTTCTGCAGGTGCTTTCAGAAAAACACATTGCCATGAGCTACACCTACACTATAATGTCAAATCATATTTCACATATATATACACATATATATTCAATCCACACATATTCCATTTACATTTTTTGAAAATAACACACATATTCAATCAAATTAACAAGAGTAATAGAATACACTTTCTAAAAATTATAGACAAAGTATAGCACAGTTTTCTAGTGATCATTTTGATACAGCAACTTAGAATCTATGCCTTGAACAAAAAAAGAGGCTTATGTAAGAGAAAAGCACCACATAATACAAGATTTTAAATGTGATCATCATTGCTACTTTTAGCTGGCAATTACCCACTAAATGTATTGTAAACTGCTCTGTGACTATGGTGACTCATTTAATCTTTGTGATCCTTGCTTTCATTATCTTAAAAATATGAGTAACACCATTTTATAAACTTGCTCTGAAAATTAAATGAGAGAAAAATAATCCTTCTCTATACATTGAACACTTACAAAATTACAGGCATTGTGTCCAGGTTTTTACACACTTACCTTATCGAAGCCTCATAACAATCCTATCTTTTAAATTACAGGCATTTTGCCCACACAAATTTTTACTCATTTACCTTCCGCAAGCCTCATAAGAATCCCATCTTTTATAGATAAGCAAACTGAGGCTCAGAGGAGTTAAAAACACATTCATGATCACATCCTAATGAGTGTTGGAACTTGGATTCAAATCCAGTTGTCTCTGATGCCAAAGGTGGTGCAAACTTAATGAAGACCAAGATATACCCAGTACATGGAAGGATCAAGACATGTGGATTCCCTTTCTCTACCGTCTTATGTATGAATTTCGATGGCTTTCATGGCCTCAGAAAAATCCTAAACTTCCTCCCAGGTTGCCTTGCAGTCCTTCCCTTCTTCTTGGAAATGACTGGGAATCTGCATATTTAGACCACAAGCATCTCCTTAGAAACAGGATTGTTGATCAAGAAACCAAAGTTTTGGCCGGGGATGGTGGCTGAAGCCTGTAATCCCAGTACTTAGGGAAACCAAGGTGAGCAGATCACCTGAGGCCAGGAGTTTGAGACCAGCCCAACCAAAATGGTGAAACCCTGTCTCTCCTAAAAAGAATAAAATTAATTGGGCCTGATGGCACATGCCTCTAATCCCAGATACTCCGGAGGTTAAGGCAGAAGAATTGCTTGAACCCAGAGGGCAGAGGTTACAGTGACCTAAATTATAGGTATTGTATCCAGATTTTTACACACTTACCTTATAGAAGCCTCATAGAAAGCCTTTCTTTTAAATTACAAACATTTTTGCCATGGTTTTCATACATTTACCTTATGGAAGCCTCATAACAATCACATCTTTTATAGATGAGAAAACTGAGGCTTTGGATGCCTCTGGGGAAACTCGCGCCAGCAATGGCCAGAGGAGCTCCTGAATTTAAACAGTATCCGTCGCCTCCCTACCTTTCAGTGTCTTCTGGTGGCCAATGTGCTGCTGTCAGGACCCTCGCTGGCTCCCAAATTCGATTGGGCAGCCTCCAAAGCAGTGGAGTCCTGCGCTACTACCACCTCCACTTCATGGATCTCAGAGCTGCAGGACAGCTTCACCCACCGCACGCTGAGATAGCCTGGCTTGCAGCTGGCATTGGGGAACAGCGTGTTCCGGGCGCCTCTGCTCCTGTATATCGCGGCCTGCGTCTTCGCTGTCTGCATGCTAGTAGACGTCAGAGCCACAGGCTGGCTCTGCAGAATGCTTGTCCCAGCCCTGATTAGGGCTGGCTTTGGTGCATATGCGACAGTTCAGTGTGGACCCCATGGGGTAAACTCTGCTCTTCTCAGGCAGCTTGGGCCTTCACTTGCCCCCAGTTCTGCAGAGCTGAACACCTCTCGCCTCTTCCTGGCAAAAGCATTGCTGCCACGGGCAGCCCTGGGCCATGGGGCAGCAATACGCTAGCAGTCCTCACTCCGTGTCAGCCCCATAGCATGAGCTGACTTGTCTGCTAAAAAACCCTGCCAACCTGTCTGGTTTATTTTAGAAGGGCTTGGATGCAATAAACCTGAGAGCTGTGACTGGGGGGAGGAGAGAGCACAAACGGATTCATCTTCCTTCCACCACTGCCCAACAACTGAAGACCACCAGCTGAGGGAACCAACTGAGGACACAAACCGAAGGAAACCAATGAGGGCACCCACTGAAGGCCACCAAGTGAAGGCCAGTTGCCCTGCCAACCAGAACGCATCCTGGTTCAGAGGAAACAATCAGGTTCAGAATCCCCTGCGTGCCTCCCCACAAACTTGGAACTTGAGAGCACAGGCACATGGCTCACAAGGCCCCGCCCTGCCAGTGGCCCCGCCCCACCTTTCATTCATTGCTGGCTGCTGGGACCTTTCTGGTTTCTCACTGTGAAGAAGTTCCTAGGGATCATCCCTTACAATGAACAATGTTAAAATCACTGAAACCAAATCTGCCTCACGCAGTGTCTGGGATTCATAGAATCCCCTTCCCCCATAATCTCTGAAACATTTACAAACTAGAAAGAAGAGAGATTTCTGCGGGTGCTTTCAGAAAAAAACGTTGCCATGAGCTAAGCCTACTCTATAATGTCAAGTCGTATTTCATATATGCACATATAAATCCAATCCATATATATTCAATTTCCGTTTTTGAAAATAACAAATATGTTCAATCAAATTAAAAAGACTAATAGAAGAAATTTTCAAACATTTACACACTAAGTAAATCACATTTTTCTAATGATCGCTTTGATAGAGCAACTTAGAATCTGTGGTTTCAAAACACCAAGAGGATTATGTAAGAGAAAACCACAACATAATACAAAATTTTCAATGTGAAAATCATTGCCACTTTTAACTAGAAATTACCCAGTGAATGCATTGTGAACTGCTTTGTGACCTCGGTTATCTATTTATTCTTTCTGATCACTGGTTAGATTGTTTAAGAAATATGACTATCAACAATTTTATAAACTTCCTCTGAAAATTAGATGAGAAAAAATAATCCTCCTTCTCCATATACTGAACACTTAAAAAATTATAGGTATTGTGTCCAGATTTTTACACACTTACCTTATAGAAGCCTGAAAGAAACGCTGTCTTTTAAATTACAAAAATTTTGCCATGGTTTTTACACACTTACCTTATGAAAACCTCAAAACAATCACGTCTTTTATAGATGAGAAAACTGAGGCTTTGGATGTCTCTGGGGGAACCTTGGGCCAGCAATGGCCAGAGGATCTTCTGAACTTAAGCAGTACCTGTTGTCTCCCTACCTTTGGACGTCTTCTGGTGGCCAATGTGGTCCTGTTGTCAGGTCCCTCGCTGGCTCCCAAATTCGATTGGGCTGACTCCAAAGTGGTGGAGTCCGTCGCTGCAGCCACCTCCACCTCATGGATCCCAGAGGTGCAGTACGACATCACCCACCACACCCTGAGGTGGCCCCCTTGCGGAGGACACTGGGGGACAGCACGTCCCTCTGGTCCTGTTTATCGCAAGCTGCGCCTTCACTGTCTGCACCCTGCACCCTCGTAGATGTCAGAGACACAGGCTGGCTCTGCAGAACCCTTGTGCCAGTCCTGACTGGGGCTGGCTTTGGTGCACATGTGACAGTTCAGTGTAGTCTCCATGTGGCACCCCTGCTCTTCTGGGGTAGCTTGGGTCTTCGTTTGTCCCCAAGGCTGCAGGGCTCAACACCTATCGCCTCTTCCTTCCAAAAGCATGGCTTGCACAGGCAGCCCTAGGCCATGGGGTTGCACTGCAATAGCATCTGGTACCCCGTGTTACCCCTGTACCCTGAGCTGGCTTGTCTGCAAAAAAAAAAAAACCCTGCCAACCTGTCTGGTTTATTTTAGAAGGGCCTGGATGCAACAAGCCTGAGAGCTGTGACTGGGGAAGGAGAGAGCACAAACGGATTCATCCTCCTTCCACCACTGCCCAACAACTGAAGACCACGAAGTGAAGAGAAACAACGGAGGGAACGAACTGAGGGCACTAACTGAAGGCAAAAAGTGAGGGCACCTGCTGAAGACCACCAAGTGAAGGTCAGTTGCCCTGCCAACCAGAACGCATCCAGGTTCTAGGAAACAATCAGGTCCAGAATCCCCTGCATGCCTCCCCACACACTTGGAACTTGAAAGGACAGGCACATGGCTCACAAGGCCCCGCCCTGCCAGCGGCCCCGCCCCACCTTTCATTCACTGCTGCCTGCTGGGACCTTTCAGGTTTCTCACCGTGAAGAAATTCCTAGGGATCATCATCTTACGATGAATGATGCTAAAATTACTGAAACCAAATCTGCCTCATGCAGTGTCTGGGATTCACAGAACCCCCTTTTCCCCATAATCTCTGAAACATTTATGAACTAGAAATAAGAGACATTTCTGCAGGTGCTTTCACAAAAAAAAAAAAAAACATAGCCATGAGGTAAGCCTACTCTCTAATATCAAGTTATATTTCATATGTACACATACATATCCCATCCACATATATTTGATTTATATTTTTGAAAATGACACACATGTTCAAATTAATGAGACTAATAGAAGAAATTTTCCAAAATTTACACACTAGGTACATCACATTTTTCTAATAATCACTTTCATAGAGCAGCTTAGAATCTATGCTTTCAACAAAGCAAGAGGCTGATGTAAGAGCAAACCACAAACAAGATTTTCAATGTGATCGTCATTACTACTGTTAACTAGAAATTACCCAGTGAATGCATTGTGAACTGCTTTGTGACTGTGGTGATTTATTTAGTCTTTCTGATCATTGGTTTGATTGTCTAAGAAATATGAGTGTACCAAATTTTATAAACTTGGTCTAAAAATTAATGGTCTAAAACAAATGAAAGAAAGTCCTCCTTGTCCACATGTTGAAAACTTACAAAACTGTAGACATTGTGTCCAGACTTTTACACACTTACCGTATAGAAGCCTCACAATAACCCTCTCTTTTAAATGACAAACATTTTGCCATGGTATTTACACACTTACCTTATGGAAGCCTCATAACAATCACATCTTCTATAGATGAGCAAACTGAGGCTCAGACAACTTAAAAACACATTCATCATCACATTATAAAGAGCGATGGACCTGGGATTCAAATCCAGTTTTCTCTGACACCAAAAATGGTGCAATTTAAGGAGGACCCAGTTATACCCAGAACACGGAGGGATCAGAACACGTGATTCTCTTTTCTACCCCCTCGTGTGTGAATTTCAATGGCTTGCACTGCCTCAGAACAATCCTAAACTCCCTCCCAGGTTGCCTTGCAGTGGTTCCCTTTTCCTTGGGGATGATGAGGAATCTGCATATTTAGACCACAAGCATCACCTTTTAACAGGTGTATTGATCAAGAAATGAAATTTGCTAAGCTGTATGTTACTAAGTGTGAATTGTCCAACTTCTCTGCAATAAATAAAGGGTCTATTCCAGGTAAAAAATCACAGCATCCACTGAATTTATGCGGAAAGATTTGGAACTGTGCTGCAGGAGCATCTTACTGATAGCTGCGCGGGAGACCAGCCAGAACACACCAAGCAGGAGCAGCTCCCAAGGCCAGGTGTGGTGGTTCTTGCCTGTCATCCCAACAATGTGGGAGGCCAAGAGGGGTGAATCACTTGAGGCCAAGGTTTGAGACCAGCCTGGGCAACACAGTGAGACCCTGACTCTACAAAAAAAATCATTTTTTATTATTAGAATACCTCTAACCCTCAGTCATTACTTTAGGAGGGAGAGCTCTGCTCTAGAACTCAAGAAATGAAATTGGGAGTCCCGATGTGGCTACTTAAGTTTAAATACAAGAGCTGTCAGACATTTCCTCTATGGTAATGAAATCTGTAGCATCCATTTTGTATTTTGAAAACTTAGTTTTCTGCCAGCCTAGTCAAAGGAGAAGAGGACCCAGAAGTGGGCATTTGGGCAGGGCAATGAAAAGCAACTGGTTGGATGCAACAGGGAAAGAAGAAGGGGTGGGGAGTCGAGTCAGAGCAAGTCCTCCTGCTCGGGGGCCTGGGCCTAGGAAAGCGAACTAGGGGCAGGAGGGAGGAGCCCTAGGCTGCGGATGCCTCTCAGAGGAACGAATATTTGGTGAGCAACGGCCAGAGGAGCTCCTAAGGCCAAGCGGTATCTGTAGTCTCCCTACCTTTTGGCGTCTTCTGGTCGCCAATGTGTTGCTAGTCAAGGCTCCCGAGTCTGACGGGACAGGCTCCAAAGCAGTGGAGTCTTGTGCTACTCCCACCGCCACCTCGTGGATCTCAGAGCTGCAGGACGGCTCCAAACACCGCACCCTGAGCTGGCCCAGCTTGGGGCTGGCATTAAGGGACAGTGTGCTCCGGGCGCCTCTGCTCCTGTGTGCTGGGGCCTGCGCCTTTGCTGGCCGCCCACTCATAGATGTCAGAGCCTCAGGACAGCTCCGCAGAAGCCCTGAGCTGGCCCTGCCTTGGGCTGGCTCTGGGACATATGCAACAGGTCAACTTGGTCCCCATGGGACAACTCTGCTCTTCTCGGGCAGCTCGTGGTCCTTCGCTTGCCCCCACGCCTGCAGAGCTGAGCAACTGCCACCTTTTCCCAGGAAAGGCAACCAAATTCCACCAAGTGAAGGCACCCACTGAAGACACTAACTGAAGGCCGGTTCCCTACCAAGCATATTGCGTCCTGCTTAGGAGGAACCAATCAGGCCTTGAGTTTTCCCAGGCTCCGCCCTGCCATTTGTGATGTGGGAGTCCAGGCACTGGCTCTCAAGGCGCCCCCCCCCTCCCGGCCCCGGCAGCCCCGCCCCACCTTTTATTTATTAGTAACTGGTAGCAACTTTGAGGTTTCCTCATTGTGAATTATGAATATGAATTATGCTGAAATTACTGTATACCAATGTACCGCATGCACTATCTGACATTCAAAGAGCCACCTTGCCCAATCGCCTCTGATTTTTTTGGAAACTAGAAAAAAGACAAATTTGAGCAGGTGTTTTCTGAACAAAACATTGCCTGCGCGGTGGCTCAGCTGTAATCCCCAGCATTTGGGAGGCGAGACGGGTGGATCACGAGGTCAGAGATCGGAGACCATCCTGGCTTAACACGGTGAAAACCCGTCTCTACTAAAAAATACAAAAAACTAGCCGGGCGAGGTGGCGGGCGCCTGTAGTCCCAGCTACTCGGGAGGCTGAGGCAGGAGAATGGCGGGAACCCGGGAGGCGGAGCTTGCAGTGAGCTGAGATCCGGCCCCTGCACTCCAGCCTGGGTGACAGAGCGAGACTCCGTCTCAAAAAAAAAAAAAAAAAAAAAAAACATTGCCATGAGCTAAGATTACTCTGATGTCAAGCCTCATTTCATATATCAATACATATTCATATTCATAATCCAAAACACACATATTCAATCAAATTAACAAGACTAACAGAGGAAATTTTCTAAAATTTATACACTAAGTACATCACATTTTTCTAATGATCACTTTGATAGAGAAGTTAGACTCTATGAGTTTCCACAAATGAAGAAGCTCATGGAAGAGAAAACCACCACATAAAAGATTTTCAGTGTGATCATCATTGCTACTTTTAAGTAGCAATTACCCAGTAAATATATTGTGAACTGCTTTGTGAGTATGGTGATTTATTTAAACGTATTGGTCCTTTGATTATCTTAAAAATATGAATAATGCTAATTGTATAAATTGTTCTAAAAATAAAAGGAGAGAAAAAATATTTCTTTTTCATATACTGTACAATACAAAATTAAAGGCATTGTGTCCAGATTTTTACACACTTACCTTATTGAAGCCTCATAACAACCCGTCTTTTAAATTACAGGCATTATTCCCAGATTTTTACACACTAATCTTATGCAAGCCTCATAAGAATCCCTTCTTTTATAGATGACCAAATTGAGGCTCAAAGGATTTAAAAACACACTCACCATCACTTCGTAATGAGTGTTGGAACTGGGATTCAAATCCAGTTCTCTCTGACACCAAAGGTGGTGCACCTTCACGAAGACCCAGTTATACCCCGCACATGGAGCGATCAAAACATGTGGATTCCCTTTCTGTACCCTTTTATGGGTGAATTTGAATGACTTTCACGGCCTCAGAACAATCCTAAACTCCCTCCCTGCTTGCCTGTAGTGGACATCACTTCTTCTCTTTCATTATTAGGAATCTGCATCTTTGGACCACAAGCATCTCTGAACAATTGTTTTGATCAAGACACACTGTTTTCTAGGCCTTAGGTTACTAACTGTGAATTGTCTAGCTTCTCTGCAATAAAAAAAAAAAAGGGTTATTCTATGTAAAAAAATCACAGGATCCACTGAATTTGTGCAGAAAGGTTTGGAACTATACTGCAAGAGCATCTTACTGACAGATGTGCAGGAAGATTAGCTGAAACACACAAAGCTAGAGCACCTCCAAAGGCCAGGTGTGGTGGTTCTTGCTTATCATGCCAGCAAAGTGGGAGGCCAAGGTGGGTGGATCACTTGAGGCCAGGAGTTCAAGACCAGACTGGGCAACACAGTGAGACCCTGTCTCTGCAAAAAAATCCCTTTTTATTATTAAAATCAAGAAGAGTACCTCTGACCCTCTGACATTGCCTTAGGAGAGAGGGCTCTGGCCTAGCACTCAAGATAATGAAATTGTGAGTCCCAATGTGGCTGCTTAAGTTTAAATACAAGAGCTGTCAGACATTTCCTCTATAGCAACGACATCTGTAGCATAAATTTTGTATTCTAAAACGTAGTTTTCCGACAGCCTAGGGGAAGAAGAAGAGTGCCTAGAACTGGGCACTGGGGTAGGTAGAGGAAAGAAACCAGCTGGACACAGCAAGGAAAAAAGAGGGGTGGGGAGATGAGGCAGAGTCAGTCCTCCTGCTTGAGGCCTGGGCTTAGGATAGCAAACTAGGGGCAGGAGGCAGGAGCCCCAGGTGTTGGATTCCTCGGGGGAAATTTTGGGCCAGCGGCAGGCAGAGGAGCTCCTATACTTAAGTGGTATCCGAAGCCTCCTTACCTTTGGGTGTCTTCTGGTAGCCAAAGTACAACAGTCAGGAACCTCGCTGGCTCCCAAATTGGACTGGGCAGACTCCAAAGAAGTGGGGTCCGGTGGTACTGCCACCTCCACTTCCTGGATCTCAGAGCTGCAGGACAGCTTCACCCACCGCACCCTGAGCTGGCCTCGCTTGCAGATGGCATTGGGGGACGGCATGTTCAGGGCTCCTTCGCTCCTGTATATCGCGGCCTGTGCCTTCCCTGTCTTCATATTCATAGACCTCAGAGCCACAGGGTGGCTCTGCAAAATTGTTGTGCTGGCCCTGACTGGGGATGGTTTTGGTGCACATGCGACAGGTCAGTGTGGTCCCCATGGGGCACCCCTTCTCTTCTCGGGCAGCTTGGGCCTTCGCTTCCCCCAGTCTGCAGAGCTCAACAACTATCGCCTTTTCCTCACAAAGGCATGGCTGGCAAGGGCAGTCCTGGGCCATGGGGTGGCACTGCGCTAGCAGCCCGCTCCTCGCGCCACCCCCACACCCTGCGCTGACTTGTCTGCTAAAAAACCCTGCCAGTGTCTGGTTTATTTTAGAAGGGTGTGGATGCAACAAGCCCGAGAGCTGTGACTGGGGGAGGAGAGAGCACAAACGGATTCATCGTCCTTCTGCCACTGCCCAACAACTGAAGACCACCAACTGAGGACCACTAACTGAAGAGAAACAACTGAGGTTAACAAGTGAGGGCACTAACCGAAGGCAACCAATGAGGGCACCCAGTGAAGGCCACCAAGTGAAGGCCGGTTGCCCTGCCAACCAGAACACATCCTAGTTCAGAGGAAACAATCAGGTCCAGAATTCCCTGCTTGCCTCCCCACAAACTTGGAACTTGAGAGCACAGGCACATGGCTCACAAGGCCCCGCCCTGCCAGTGGCCACGCCCTACCTTTCATTCATTGCTGGCTGCTGGAACCTTTCAGGTTTCTCACCGTGAAGAAGTTCCTAGGGATCATCCTTTACAATGAACGATGCTAAAATCACTGAAACCAAATCTGCCTCACGCAGTGTCTGGGATTCATAGAATCCCCTTCCCGCATAATCTCTGAAACATTTACAAACTAGAAAGAAGAGAGATTTCTGTGGGTGCTTTCAGAAAAAGACATTGCCATGAACTAAGCCTACTCTATAATGTTGAGTCATATTTCATATATGCACATATAAGCACATATAAATCCAATCAATATGTACTCAATTTCCGTTTTTGAAAATAACAAATATGTTCAATCAAATTAAAAAGACTAACAGAAGAAATTTTCAAACATTTACACACTAAGTAAATCACATTTTTCTAATGATCGCTTTGATAGAGCAACTTAGAATCTGTGGTTTCAAAACACCAAGAGGATTATGTAAGAGAAAACCACAACATAATACAAAATTTTCAATGTGAAAATCATTGCCACTTTTTTTTTTTTTTTTTGAGACGGAGTCTCGCTGTGTCTCCCAGGCTGGAGTGCAGTGGCGTGATCTCGGCTCACTGCAAGCTCCGCCTCCCGGGTTCATGCCATTCTCCTGCCTCAGCCTCCCGAGTAGCTGAGACTACAGCGCCGCCACACGCCCGGCTAGTTTTTGTATTTTAGTAGAGACGGGGTTCAC